TTTTTTTTTTTTTTTTTTTTTTTTTTTTTTTTTTTTTTTTTTTTTTAATTGTTACAGTTCTCAATGTTCTGTTTTGCTTTCTTTGGAAGACAGCTTATCCACATCTAAACTGAATTCATTTTACTACCGCTGTGTATGCGTGCATGCATGTTAGTGACAACAGAATTATCCTACCACAAATCCACCAAAAATATGCAGAGAATTGCGCAAAAAATCTTGTAAAATTTTAAGGTGGTGTCAGAAAGTTAAAAAACATGTGATCTCTTATTTACACCAAAATGAACATATATATCACATTCTATAACTAAACAATAAGGAACAGATGGTTACCTATCAGAGATGGAACATAGCAAAAACAAACATTTAGCTCTGACCAGACCTCTGACCAGACCAGAACTATTTCTAAGACAGCTTTGATGTATTACTACAGCTGTAAGTTGCTAAGCACCATTCTCTAAAAGAAAGAATGCACAGGGAAGAATTTAGAAAGACAAGCAATATTGCCATGGAGAGAAGAGAAAACATTAAACTTAAGTCATATTGCAGTCTGATAGCCTCCAAGAAGACTGAATCAGAAGCTTTTAGCAAGCTGGGGTAGCAGTAATTTAAAGTTCACCTCTCCTATTTGTTACTTTTATTTTTACTGAAGGCACAAACATAATGTTCATTGTAGGAAGAAACATTAAAAAGTACCAACTTTTCAAGATTTGCACTGTGATTTTACATCTTCAGTTCTCCCTGCTACTTGGTATATACATGAGAATTCAGTGTGCAGATACTCATGACTTCGCCATGTTTTTTTTTTTTTTTTTTTTTTTAAGAAGGAAAGAAAGTCTGGCAAATTCTCTGCTCTGGAAATTTTGCAAGACTAAAGGCACAACAGAGGAGTGGCAATCATTTCATAGTACTGAATTTGCTATTGCTTTGAATACATAGAGCTTTCAAGATAAATAGTTCATTGTAGTTCATTACAGTGCACACCATAATCTGACTTGATATCTAGATACATATCTTTTTTGCACAAAACACATAAAATACAGCCAGATTTGGAGCTGAATCACATCACTGACATCAAGACAGAAGAATTACTCAGCTTTCTTAGAGTGGCTTCTCAGCTGCACATAAAAAGTCTCCTAATCATGCAGTCCTTCTCAACTCTTATGCAGAGTACACATCAACAAATATGTGAATACAGAGTTCATTCTTCTTTCAAGAGATGATCCCAAACTTTTTCTCTTTTCTTGAAAGTATACCATAAGACTTTCTAGTAGAAACAGCATTGGCTTTATCAATATGAACTAACTAATAATGAAGGTATCATATGAACGAAATTAGATAGATATACTGTGGAAGAGCCTGCACACCTCTGTTATAACTTTATTTATCTGTGTAGACAGCTGTGTCTTGTGGTTTGCAACACAGTATACCATAACCTAAAAATGAAAATCCCTCTAAAGATATTTTAAATGAAATTCAGAATTGGACATGTGACAAATCTTCGGATACCCACAATTATGCAAAGCATTTACAATTCTAATGGTTTCTAATGTGAGATATATCCACAGTCACCTTCTCTCCCTGTCATATTCATCATGATGTTCTATTTTTGGTTTCAATTACTTTCAGCAGTGAAGAGTGAGGATATACATCAATTTATTTAGCAAGCTGGTAACACTGAGGTCAAATTAAAAATGCAGTTACATGCAAATAAATGCTTTATGACAGCCTTTGGACCATAAAGAACCATAGACCATAAATATGTTTTTCATCTATTCCTTTCTTTCCCTTCACCTCATCAACATAATAATAATTATTAAAAAAAAAAGCCTTGTTTTCCAACATTCCTTAAAATTATTCTTTTTCTAGCCAAATCTAATATCTTAAGAAAAAATTCCCTTTTTCCCACATCAATTTAATACTTTCCCAACTCTGAAATACACATTGGAAAAAATCCTTGAATCAACAAAATCTAAGCTAAATCATTGAATACTTTGTGCATACCCTAAAGTCTACATTTATTCTAAAAAAGACAAGGTAACTTTAATATTCGCACACATTAATTTTTGTGAGAGTAAAGATTATAGTAGGGATGGTGCTCTCTATCCACCAGAAAACCAAGAGGCACACCTGTGTCACTGAAAAGAAAGAAATGATGCCAGCTACATAACCCATAATGTGTTTTTGTTTTCCACTCTTCCAAAGTTACCATTGATGTTCAAGTAAATAATAAGAGGTACTGAGAGTGACCAGCTAGTATGTTTTCCAGAAAAACTATATAGAGTTGGAGAAGCTTCAATCTATTAGAACTCTGGAAATGTATCCTGAGTTGAAAGGATATGAGGAACAGAGTATTAATTTTGCATATTTTCTGAAAAAATAAATACAATGTGTAAAGCAAACCTGACCTAACTGTGAAAATTCGTACTGTACCAAGTACAAATGATAATCAGCATGAGGTAAATTCTGGAGTCAACTGAAAAACAATCGTTCTATCAGGTTGTCATATAGATTAAACATCCTATGTAACAATCAATCATCTAATCCACACAAAACAAAGTAAACAGAATTGTTAGATCTCTTCTTCTAGGAAAAAGCATTCTTATGGCCAGAATTCGAAAGGAAAAAAGTTATTTATCCCAGATTATAAAACTCTATGGTGTAACTCTGCGTGGGGCCTAAAGAAAAAGCAAGAATGAAAGCTCTGTGCTGCAAAAGGTAATTGCTTTTACAAGCTCCTGTCTTCAGCAGCTATAGAATACAGTACATAAGCAAGTCAATGAGAGTCCAGAGACAGCACGAAAATGTTGCTGGAGAGAGAACGTAAAGAGAAATCAGACTGGCAAAGCAAGATGTTGTCTCTGAAGGCCTTGTGGAGCCTATTCTGAGATTTGGAACACAAATGTTTTCATACAGATGATAGGTCCTATGTAATGCTGTATTAATATTTTATGTTTTTTAACAGATTCTATGCTGTCTTCTGCAACAAACGGAAATATGAAATTTGATGTATCAAGGAAATAAAAATGATTATTATAATACTTTACTAAACTAGATTATGTCTAAAGACCTCAAGTGCTCTATGCCAAACTTTCTAGCCTTAAAAAAAAAACAACCAACTTTCAGAGCACTTTTGGGAAATAAAGCAAAACTTTATATTACATGAAGCTTAACACTGAAAGTAAATGACCCATTTTTCTCTTCCTTTCCCATTCAGTTAATTATTGTTTTGGAACATTAAATGCACTCATCTTTATGTCAGTCACTTAACTCCTGCTGCTGATAAATCTGTCTAGCAAAGGATTTGAGCCTTGAAGTTGGTGATTCAGTGGATTTCTTCAGAAGCAAGTCATTCTGTAGCTCACCTGCCTGCTTGTCAAATTCTTAAAAAAAAAACAACAAAAAAAAGGTGGGTTGCTTACCACATCCTAATCATCACTCAGAAAAAGACGCAGGCAGGGAAGACAATATCATGGGTAGGAGGGAATGAGAAAATAATGGGTTACATTTCCACGCAGTTGCTATTCCAAACCACTTTCAAGCTTTTTTTTTTTTTTTTTTTTTTTTTTTAAAGGCAACTAAAATGTACACTTTTCTCCAGGCACCATTCATTTCTGGGTTGAAGCACAGCAGCTGTTCAGCACTTCACAGCAACTCCGCACCACAGGAAGGGCCTGCTGACAAAAACATTTGTTTTCTTCTGAGGTAGCTGCACTTCAGTTGTTGAAGGTAAACCAGAGTAGCTAAATGTTATTTGTGGGAGGCCTTTGATGCCTTAATCACAAGCATATGGCAAGAAAGTCTGCTCTCCCATTTACACAGACCAAAAACTGGGGCAACTAAAAGGAAGAATGAATGGTCTCTATCTCACAAATGTGAAACAAAGGTACAAAAGGCTACACCTAGACCATTTAAGGCTCAGAATAGTCTGCAGATTAACAGTCATCTCTCCTCAGTGCACCACAGTAATGCAAGTCATCTCTAAATAGCACAGAATTGATTTTGACCCACTTGAAGGGGGAACAGTACAGAAATTATCATTCCTTTTTCAGAGCAGCCACTGCAGTACCTTTTTACTAATTGCCAGAGAACACCTGGATCTGAATACAAAGTGGAAACTCATAGGTACACCAATTATACATCTACATTTGCAATGTAATGAATAACAGATTTTCCAGAGAGCAAAAATGTCATATGATCTTCAGAGAAAGTATAGGAAGCTGGGTTACTCTGGCTCCTCACCAAATACAGGCAGGAGACAGCAATCACAGCAGTGTTTATTTGCATATACCGAGAGATACTCTGCATTCACAGCATAGAAATGTGGTGGTATCTTCTTGCTCTTTGCAGTCTGGAAGGTTTCCCAGACACCTGAGCTAAGTTCAGTGCAGCATAGGACAGCTTATTTATTGAAATGCAAGACCTTAAGCACACCACAGATATGTATCCATTCTCAAGACTCCACATTACATCCTGATTCTGTTCCTCATCCAGACAGCGTGGCTATCTCCCAGACAGCTGTTGTGGGAGCCTACATTATAGACTCATTTTTACTCCATTCTTCTCTCAGAGAGTCACTATCTGCCTAACTTCATGGGCTTTGGTGTATTCACAAAGGGAGATAATGTTTAATTTGGAGGTGTGTTTACTGAGAGTAACACGTTGCGTATGAACCCAACTCTGCGAGCTTAGTGAGTGCCTTGAAATTTATTTAAAACTTCTGTCAGTCAAGTGCTTCTGAAAGTTAGACTCTTCTTGTCTTAGAAACTGCTTTGTTTGTAGCATACGGTGTATCACTTGGACATTTAAGACCATTTGGACCATTATAAAAATATATCGTTCTTCTGAAGATGATAAGAATAAAAGCTTGAAAGCATTTAAAAATGCTTTAAAATTTACAGCATTTTAAAGAGCACTGTGGTGTAGTTAAACTATCTAAATTTTATTCCTGTTTTAAATTGCACTGAGGACCAAAAGAATTCAATAATTATTGTAAGATGTATGAATATTTACCAGCATCCTTTTGAATAACTTCATAGATCCAGGACAAATGCTGGAATTTGTTACTACCTATGTGTCTATTAAAGCGCCATAATCATAAATTCTAGTTATGACAGGATTTTAGCCCAACTGTTACACTTGCCTGTTAATGGAGAAAACAAGTACTCATGGTTGAGGAGTTTAGTGCATTAACAATCATTTTTTCACATATCTTCTTTAGATCAAAGGAAACATATTCAAGTTATTTGTACTTCATGAGTACTTTGAAGCAAAAATTAGTGATGTTGAGTTTAAAACAGCAAACAACTAAATTAAAGACCACAGCGTGATTTCTAAGCATCCTGCAAGAAGTGTATTGTTAAAGCACTAAGCTAATGTCCAGCCGGGCTCTGTTAAGGTGATAACCCAGGAGAAATTATAAAGACATGTAAGAATCTTTTATTTCCTTCAACTTCTGATCCAGAAACACCCAACTAATTAGCTTAAGGAAACATTCAAAATATTATCTTCCTTGATGCTATTTTTATGTCAAGATAGTAGTTATTTCTGAATGCTCTGTTGGGGAAAAAAGGTGTGACGTGAAGTTGTCAGACTCAACAGATAAGGAATAGACTGCAAACCACTTGGTGGACCCTAAGGCAATAACCAAGAAGACAACAGGCACATAGAAAAAAGCGATGCAGTTTTTTTTTTCAGAGAAAAGGAAAAGGAAGAAGAGAGACAGCCTCATGGAAGTTACAAGAACAATCATAGAATGGCTTGGGTTGGAAGTGATTCAAAGCCCATCTGGTTCCAACCCCCTGCCATGGGAAGGGTTGCCATTCATCAGATCAGGCTGTCCAGGGCCCCATCCAACCTGGCCTTAATTACCTCCACAGCTTCTCTGAGCAGACAGTAAAGACTACCATACAGACCTAGCATTTACACGGGACCAGTCTACAGTCTATACAACAGAAATGGTACTGATCTATCACACTCTAGTTTTCACTTGTAAAGGGAGATGCACAAGAGACTGGACTGCTTAAGTGCAGGTCAAATCAGAAACTTCCATCACAGAGATGGCTTCTTCTCTTGAGACAACTCCATGCCTGGTATTGCAGCTGGAAAGTTTCAGACACTGCTCCCAGCAGGCAGTTTGCATGCAGCCACAGTCTTGTGAAGGTGAAAACTTCTGCTAGCTTAATGCTAACAGCTGTCACTTGGCCTCAGCACACAGGTTTTTAGGTTTCTGTTGTGGTTTAACCCAGCAAGAAGCTAAACACCACACAGCCTTTCACTCGCCCTCCCCACAAAGTTCACCTCTGAAGAAAAGGTGCATGACTTCAGACATGTGGTGTTCCCTCCCAGGTCTCTATGTGTGACAATGAAGTTATTGAATCATTTATAAATTTCATTTTGTTTCCTTTAGAGTTTGTGTACCAGAGATTGCTTTTACATTAGTATTATTTCACTAACTTTAGTGATATTACTGCATTTTGAATTGACGTAAGAGAAAGAAGAACATCGATTTTGTTTAGAAAAATTAGCAATAAAAACCTTATGACTAGAACTCTTAAGATGAAATACTGGATATTCTCTCATGTAAAAGAATACCACCATTTTAAAAACTCTATTGCCCAACCTAGCTTCAACTCCACATACAAATCTGTTCTGGAATTACCTTACAAATATGTTGTTTCGGAATTCCACGCAGTATGCAGTAATAATAAAGGTGTTCCCAACCCGTTAAAAGTTCATCCAGTGCATCTTGCTGTGGACAATAGCCAATAAGAATGCCTTCAGAACTAGCAGACAGTATATCCATTTCAGAGCTGTTAAAAGAAAAAAACAAAACGTTGGGTAAAAAAGACAGTCCTTATTTTCACCCTTGGAATACAGAGTCTTCAAGGCAAGCACAGTTGCCTTTTAACGCGTAGGTAAGTGAAGCAACTCAGGCTCCTTACCATCACTTAACACAGTACCAATCACAATCATGGCAAGGTTTTTGTCCCTTTCTCAGGCTTTTGGGCTGCTATTCGTGTTTCACTGCTCTAAAGGAATGCAGGTCAAAATAAACAGACCAACACAGAAGGAGGAAGATCTATGAGAAGTAATTCTTACTAGGTTTACCTCTCCTATATACACAGGCCTTGCTCTAAGGAGATGCACTTGCATCACATTCACATTCAATATTAGAGAGACATTAGTCTTGAGAGAGGGAGCACAAGCTCAGTGTCTGCGTACATATGTACACATCCATATTATGTGTTCTCTAAGCAATAACACACACACACACAAAAAAACCCCAACCCCAAAACTATCAAAGCCTAGTAAGCTTAAATTTAATACTTGAAAATAATAAAAAAAGTGATTCTGATTTCAGGGACTTTGTCCATCTCTTTGTAGCTGTACTGTATTACTTGAAATTGCATTCATTGCTAAGAAGTAAGCTTGATTGCAGGGGTGTCTCATTAGCCATAATGACACTAAATCTATCCTATTTATTCCATCATCTAATCCAACATTCAATGATGCTGATTTACATTTACAGAAAAGACCTGTCAAAATTAAGCTATTCTATTTTAAAAGAAAAAATAAGTTTTGAAAGAAAAAGTTTTTAAAAGCTTCTGAATTACAGAATGGTTCCCCCCTTAGCCCCCTCATTTTTTTTTTTTTTTTACATTTCTGATTAAGAGAACTAAGTATACAATTGATCACTTAGACACAAAGTAAATGTTTTAAATGGAAGATCTACAATTACCAGCATTAGTGTAAATCTAAATATGTATCTCCTGATTCTTAACAAGATTCAGGAGTCTGGGAAAAAAGGAAAAGGAAAAGGAAAAGGAAAAGGAAAAGGAAAAGGAAAAG